TCAGTGATGGAGGAAAATAGATAGTGAATATTGAAAATAATAGGCAGATCAGACCCAGTGTAACTCATTTATGGATGGATTTTTACTCTAATTGTCTAAAACAGATACACAAAAGATGCCTAACTCTACAAACAATATAGATATTTTGCATACAAAGATTACTGTACCCTCCATAACCTATTCTAATGTCATTTTACATGAAATAAGCTTACATGTCATGACCATTGGCTATATCTTAAATATTAATATTATTCTTCAAAATAAAGGAATTAAGATATATGGAAAAATGCATGATTCTAGGATGAGTGTGTGTGTGTCAGAGGTAAGTGAAGAGAGGTTTAAGACACTCCAAGCACTGGAAATGTGTTCACCAAAATAGATACAGAACCAAGAGCCTGATGGCATGACATGAAAATGCACTAAATGACAAGATAGAACAATCGAAACTAATTATAGAAATTCATTAAAATCTAAAAAATAAAGATATAGTTTATATTAATGAAGAAATAAATGGATAGATGAATAAAAGTTTTTAAAATTTTAGTTCCAAAAATTTACTGAAAGAAAAATCTTTTTAGAATTTATTTTATTTTATTTTTTTAAAGAAAACAAAATGTCTTATTTCATTTTACATATCAATCCCTGTTCCCATTCCCTTCCCTCTTCCTTTTTTATTCACCTAATCCCTCTGCACCCCACCACCATCCAATGCTCAGAGAGTGTAAGGCAAATTGCTTTGGGGAAGTTGCAAGGCCCACCCTACTATATCTAGACTGAACAAGGAATCCATCCAAAGAGAATAAGTTCCCCAAAAGCCAGTTACCCCTCAGTCTGTCCCAGCCATCCACCTGTCTTCCACATTCAGAGGGGCTAGTTTGGACCTATGTTGATTCCTTTCTTGTCCAGCTGGAATTCGTGAGCTCCCATTTGCTCAGGTTAACTGTTTCAGTGGGTGAACCCCATCATGGTCTTGAACTCATTGCTTATATTCTCACTCCTTCCACCCTTCAACTGGACTTTGGGGACTCAGCCCAGTGCTCCATTGTGGGTCTATGTCTTTGTTTCCATCAGTAGCTGAATAAAGGTTCTATGATGACATTTAAGATAATTTTCAATCTGATTACAGGGTAAGGCCAATTCAGGCACCCTCTCCTTTATTGCTTAGGAATTTAGCTAAGGGGTCATCCTTGTGGATTCCTCAAAATTTCTCTAGTGCAAGGTTTCTTGCTAGCCACATAATGATTTCCTCAATCAAAATATCTCTTTCCTTGCTCTCAACTCTGTCCTTCTCTGATGGAGGTGGGTCTTGTATCTTATCTGTTGATTTCATTGGTTAATAATAAAGAAACTGCCTCGGCCCTCATAGGACAGAAAATTAGGTAGGCGGAGTAGACAGAGGAGAATGCTGGGAAAAAGAAGCTGAGTGAGTGAGTCGCCATGATGCTCCCACTCCAGACAGACGCAGGTTAAGATCCTCTCTGGTAAGCCAGCTCATGGGCTACACAGAATATTAGAAATGGGTTAGAACAATATGTAAGAGCTAGCCAATAAGAAACTGGACCTAGCCAGGCCAGGCAGTGTTTGAAAGAATACAGTTTCCGTGTAATTATTTCTGGGTATAAACTAGCCATGTGGGCGGCCGGGTGCCGGGGACGCAGCCCTGCCGCTCCTAATTTCAACAGATGGCGCCCAGACGTGATGGGCTAAATCCACTTAAAAACCTGAGAAGGCTTAAAAATAAGGGAGAGAGAGTTTAACACAGATTTTTGCTGTTTGTTGATGGCGTGCTGAAGAGAGATTTCTTGGTTCAGCAACAGCAGCAGAAAAAAAACTGTGTCATTTTAAAGCACTGCTTCCTGGGGCTATGCTGCCAGCTTGAACTCTGGTTTTAAAGCATTTCAAGGCTTTTATGGGACTGGACATTTGTGTTCCCGCTTGGGATCGGAGGAGAGTGCTCTGAGACCGTGCTGATGGCTCAGCGCTCCCCGCCTGCACCTGGGCAGAAGGCCAAATCAGGCTTAGGCAGGCAGAAGAGCATGGAGGATTCCTGCCGCCATACAGAGACGCGTTTTCAGACTGTGCAGTGCTCTGCGTATCAGATTTGGCTGTAACTTGGATGAAAAGAGTTTCTGTGCTGCACACTCAGTCTCGGAGTTAAACTGCTGACTGCTGTGCCAATGTGGACTGCTGTGTGCCTGGGACCGGAACCGTGCTCAGCTCAGAAGCACCAAAAGACTCTGAGGCAGGAGCAGCTGCTCAATGCTGAACTGTGCTGACCTCAGGCAAGAACTACCGTAATTGCCATAATAACAGCGCACCTAAGGTTTAGACTGGGCAGGACACAGGCAGTACCGTATTACCTGTACATGGTGCAACTTAAGTTTTTAAGAAGTGCTTAACATTTTAAAAAAATGCTCCTGGATAGTAAAAAAATTACAGATTCACAGTAAAACAGATTCAGACACTGTTGGATGAATGTACGTAGGCTTGGGAGAGAGAAGAAAAAGAATATAAAGAATAAAGTTAATGTCTTAAAAAGAAAAAGGGTAAAGTCTTTAAAGAGACAGAGTACAGAA